TTTAAATAATGAATCAATTTAAAATCATGTTTTTGTTCTCTTAAAGCAAGGATAATCATTGGACTTGAGAAGTACATGTTACCGTATGTATCTGAYACCCTAGTATCTGATGTACATTTACATCACCAAAAACTCGTTGTTTTTTTATATGTAAATTCAAAACAGTAAGATGTACCACATGTTACCACAGACATAGATATCACATATGTTTGCATTTCCAAACTGTTTGCACAGAAACATTAATCATTGTGGTATCCATGAATGATTTAGGTACCACACGAAACCACAACCTTTGGTAAATGAAAATGTACCTATGCAAACAACACAGTAATATGTACCACATGTTAACATAGTTATAGGTACTACATGTGTTTGCATAGATACATTCTCATTTCCAAACTGCTTGCAAACACATTAATCACTGTGGTATCCATGAATGTTTTAGGTACCACATGTGTCCACAACCTTTGGGGAATGAAAATGTACCACATGATACCACAACCTCCATAACATCTACATTTACTTCATGAGAATTGGCATATACAYTATCTTCATCAAATTGACATGAATTGAAKAATCAATATAATTTTTACCATTGTTTTTCATTACGTTATCAATCTCCAGGATGAATTTTTTGCAGAAAAAAATTATTGATTTCACATTCTTAAATATTATGGATACAATCTTCAACAAATRTGTGTGATTTCATGTAATTTATCAGAATCATGAACATGTTTGCACAAACGGATTAGTTTTTTTGAAATTATTTCACTAAATCTTATCAATATTTTATTTTTGGAATGCAAATCAATATTTTATTTTTGGAATGCAAATCAATATTAATTATTTTATTTGAAACRGTTGCATTTTAAAAATTAAAATTTAATTTTAAATTAAGAATTGACTAACATACCCTTTTAATTTGATTTTAATTGTATAATTAATATAGTAAAATGATTGTTTGAGATTGGTTCTCACAGTTACCACAAACAACTCAGTTCTCCCTTGAAGGGTACTCGTACAATCCAGCGAGATACATTTTGATTTTAATATTTCATTTTATTTTTTATTTCAGTTGATGTTATAATATGGTCTTATGTGATTTTGAAAAAAAAACGATGATGTTTTTATTTTTGAATAAAATATGAATTTGAAAATATCATAAAATTTTGACAAAAATACATCAATATTAGTATCAAATTAACTATTTAAAATTTCTATTTTTTGTATAATTTTTAATTCAATTTTTCTATTATAATTTAATTTAGTTTCAATAGTGAAGTAATACACATATTCAAACATGAAGCTTTAATAAGTTGTAATTGTGCATAATTTACTTGTAATCTTGAATTTTAAATAATATGCATCAATATACAGTACTTCATGCATAAAAAGTGGTTTTTAAGAGTTTTTGTCAAACGTTTTATAATATAGTATAGATCATCATCATCATCATCATCATCATCATCATCATCATCATCATCATCATCATCATCATATATAAGCATCAGTATTATAATTTTGATTTACTTATTTTGATATTTTTAAAGTTGTATAATTTAAAAGTTATTTTTATGAGTAAATATTTATTTGATAATGAAAAGATATTTACAATGCATAGATTTAATTTTTATCAAGGATATAATCCCTCTTAATTAACTCGTTAAATTAAAATGTATTAGTTTTAAGGACCTTACTCATTAATTTATGTCAACCAAACAAGGTTTCATAAAATTTTAAACTATTTTGACTAATTGCAATATTAAACCCGAGACGACACTAAAAATATAATGATTTGAAAAATAAACAAGATATTTATAAAATGACTTGAAAAATGTAAACAGTTTTACAAAAAATAGCATTTCAAATTTCTTGGGTTATTTTAATCTTTTTAATGATGTGATTAAAAGACTGTGAATAAAATAAAAATAAAAAATTTAATATCGTGCAACTCACAGAGTCATAGTTATTTACAAAAAAAATCATCCTTACAGATAATGTTTGACGAATAAATCATCGAACTTTTAAAAATTAGTTATTTGGATTATTTCAACCCAAAAAATGATATATATATATATATATCATGGTTTATTTGCCTCACAGATCAAATAAGTGGGAAAATGATTTTTAAGTCACGGTTTTTCCAAATTTTAATCTATCAAGATAGTTGTTGAATAAATCTTTTTATAATATATAAGGATTTAGTAATATTATTATTATATTATGTAATTTGATAATATAAAAAAGATTNCATGTGTAGAGCAAATTAAAATGACCAAGTGCACCCCTACTCGTCAGTAACAAGGTGGGTATGACAACCAAATAGCGCTATCCACAAGAATCATGGGTTCAGAAA